AGCCAGCTACGCGTGAGTGCCCGACTGCTCCCCGGCCCGGCCGCGCCGATCGTGTGTGTACGTGGCTCAATGAATCGTGAGATTAGGCCATGCATTTTCCGGGTGAACGCTTGGGAGACACCGCGCGCGCCTGACAAATGCTTTCGATCTTGGAATAAACGCGCCCCAATAAGAATAACGAGCGAGCACATGTGGGATGACGACACCGATTTTCAATTTTTTTTACGCAATAAAACGCTGACAGGTAATGATGAACAGAACAGAATAAGCAATGACAAGTGCCAGACGAACGAGCCATGAAAGCTGGGCGTAATAACGTCCACAGGGGAAAGAATAAATGGAACAGAGTGAGAAAAAGCCTATTCCGTTTCATCGCGCATAGGAAAGAACGAACGACCGAGAAGATGAAAATAAAATACACGGAACTTGATACGACGTAAAGCTACGAGAGAATGGATCTCTGATCCCAGAGAAAAGGAAAAAAAATATAGTTAATGGATTAGGACGGTCCCTCGTAACTTTTTCGAACTGCGACCCAATTCTTTAGAAGAAAACATTCGTGACCAGCATACCTTTAGGTTGAAGTTTGGATGTGTCTCAAGCACACGAAGAAAAACAATACCAAACCATACGATTACGAGAGTATCTTGAATGTCATTTCACATTATAAACAAGCGATTTCCGTCAATATTACTATCGATTGCAGTAGCAAACTGTGAGACAGACCTACAAGTATTTCAACCACCCCTTAAATTGTACAATAGTTTCAAATCTCTATAAAAATGCTGGATTTAAATTCTCATTGGTTTACGTCATGATGGATCCCTGTCTAAAACTCCGAAGTTTCTTAAAATTTTCTATGAAATTTCCCCCCAAGAGGCGATCAAAATATTCGACATTACCTTTAGCAGTTTTTTTCTCGAAAAACTGTGGAGGGGATACGCCGCTCTTCCGCTAAACCCGTTAATTGGCAAGGGAAGAGAAATTAATCTGACACAATTGACGGTAGTTTCAATTAAGCTCGGATTCAGCAATTCGTCAAAGTAACAATTTTGGGCGAAACGATTTATGTGTAGATAATTTCGAAGGTATTATACCATACACAAATGTGATCCCAGTTCGTTATTATTTTAAAGAGAGCAGCATTTCTGAAAACGCATAAATTACATCGGAGGCTTTTCCTAAATTAGGAAACTTTTTTCCCGAAAATCTACTAAAAATGTTGTAGTGAAAGCTTTTTCATTATGTTAACAAATAACAATAATGACTTTGTTCAAAACTCAAAACCAGACCACATATGTTCAGGGTGCAAATTGACAATTTTATCTGGGGATGGGACGAGTAGATGAATGAAAGAGTGTCAATACTTCTGACATGCTTCCAATATTTTCCCATAAATGTAGTTTATAAAAACAATACTGTATATATATCGTATGCGACACCTCTTGGTTTATAAATGAGGGCCATTACGCCAACGGTAATTTCAATTTAAAGATGACACTGCTGAGTTGTATATATACTGCTATATTATATTGGTCCTCGTATCTTTCATTGCGAATTAGAGAATAGGAGGACCGATTCCAATTAGTGAACCTCTGATGTCGTGAAAATACGAAATCTTACAAGTGATTGTGTGAGAAAACACCTCCCTTCCTTCGTTCCTATTATACATTGGACACCAAGTGTCCAATATGTTAAGACGAGAAGTTTGGAGTATGATGATGGACTGATTTATAAGAATACTTTGTCCTGAAATAAATTATTATTATAATTATTCTATAAATGGTTGAGTTGACGGCAAGAATAGTTTTCTGAATGTGGAGAAAATATTTCGATCTCACAAACGTTTCCTTGTATAAAAAAAAAGAAATATGGCCTTTTTTTCTTCTTTGGGGAGGGGGGAATATTTGAGACCTGTGGTGAAAGTATAATCCGCTAACACAACATTCCCAGTAATTGCTGATATGGCTGCTCGTAACGGATTACATTTTTATATTTGGTAGTTTTAATAAGATACGTTTGTGTTCTCTAGCGTTTGGTTTTAAACTCATCATCATCATCTCTTCACTTCACGGTTTAGGCTACCGCCTGTTCCGTTTTCAAAGTGTCTCTCCATCTTTTACTTGATCTTTCTACATCTCTTTTTCCTTCGGGTGCGTAACACAGAGTTGCCTTTGGAAGTCTATTATCACGTATTCTCTTTACGAGTTCGAAGCGTCTTTGCCTACAGCCTTGCGTTCTAGTATTAACTGGAATCACTTGTAGCTATTTTCATATTTCATCATTTCTTATTTCGTCCTCTCTTGTACATCCTTTGATTCTTCTCAGAAACTTCATCTCACTACTTTGTATTCTTATTAAAATTCTTTGTGTATGTACCCATGTTTCACACCCGTAGAGTAATGTAAGAACTGTCATTGTATTGTAAAATTTTATTTTCGTTTCTGACCTTATATTTTTAAGGTATTGTTTGATATTTCATATTGTTTGATATTTCATTATTATTATTATCATATTGTTTGATATTTCATCGATTTTTTGCCGGTATCTTACCCTTTTCACCACTAGTTTTGTACCCGAAGTAATTAAAGAAGGGAACTTTCTTAAGAATTTTGTTTTATCAGGTTTTAAAATATACTAAACAAAGCTGATAAAGCATTTTATACCATATTTTCACGTGAGTCTAACAAAGGTAGAACATGCACAAAAATGAAGTTTCATTGCCCTAGTTCCGTGAGGATAACTGGAATTTATCTACCTAATTTACCTGTAATGATTTGAAGAGCGAAGAGAATGCCCAGAAACTAGATACCCGCAAACCAAACACCATCAATTACATACGTCGAGAGTTCACGGCTTTGTGGCAGTAATAGAGAAATAATGACGAGCAACGGTGCAAGGAATGACGAACGATTCTGCAAACGGAACTAGTGGCGCGATGAAGCATGTCGGGCAAACGGGAACGCCCACGGCAGACTCGCCGCAACCCCGTTCAGTCCACCGCAGATTTAGGGGAGCGAACAGCGACACGTGACTGGGTTATGAATTGACCCAACTCATTGAATTTCCTGAGTGATGTGTCAATTGCGTAATTTGTTGTCTACACTAGTCCTAAACATCGAATATTAAAGCCAGAGATAGAGAGGAATGTACTGGAACCGCAGTAACAATACGATTTCGCTTTTTGGTCGAAAAATCAGTGACTAACATTATAACAGCTGTAACAACGTACACACGTCAGAATTAAACTTCTATTAGAGATATTGCAAAGATGGTTACGATTGGTGCACATGGTGAGAAGACACACGCAGTTCGTAATCGGGATATCTCTATGGGTGGATAGTTTCAATTTTCATTAACACTTCCCGAATTTTGAAAATTGCAAATGTTCAAATATTTTTCGAATCTTCAATAGATCTCTAATGTTCAAGCAAGATATTTTTTATCAATGCAGTTATCTCTCAATTTTAGATTCTTTTGAAAATAGTGTAAAGTGCGTTTAAAAACTCAGTTGTTCAGTTATTAAAAAAATTGTAACTTTTTTCAAACATGTGTAAACAAATTTAATTTGTTGCCATCCCTATCAGTTCAGGTGCAAATACGCAGGGAGGTAATACATTCGGACTACATCACGGTAGAGTGAAGAGTAATCACACTCAGAACATTTAGTATTCATTGCAAAACCCAAATTGCGCATTTCATAACACTAAGAGGAGGAACGCCGCCTTCCTACTAGATTCTTGTTTGAATTTGTGGAAATGTTTGGGTGCTGTTGTACATGTACTATGACGCTTCGCAACCCGTACGTATTATACACGGCCCACACGTATTGTCGTATATTGTCTGGCATTGCTCATTATTGTTGTCATTGTCATTATTATTATTCTAAGAATTGTATTTCATAAAATTATTGAATTACTGACATTCTGTAAGCAAAATAATATTTCCGTTTTAATGATTAAAGATCAAATTTGAATATTTTGCAACTTCTTGGGCGAGTTAAAATGTTTATATCCGAAATTGGCCATCAAGGTTCCCCTGTGTACGGTTAAATATCATAAAGCAGTGAACCCAGACTAACTTGGACAGTACTGAGAGAGATCCGCAGAAAAAGCGAAGGCGTTACTCACTTGTACTGCTCCTCGACGAGCGCGGCCGGGTCGGTCTGCTCGATGGCCTCCTCGAAGTAGGCCTCGAGCGAGGGCAGGAAGTCGCGCTCGCGGCTCTTGCACGCCTCCAGGTTGTTGGGGCAGAGGTTCCAGAGGCGCGTCAGCTCGGGGTTGCCCATGTTGAAGCGCTTGTGGGCGGCGGCCTCGCGCATCAGCTCGCCAAGGCGCTTGCGGGCGCGGCGCGGCCGGGCGGCGGCGGTCGCCGGGCCAGGGCGGCCGGCTGCCGTCGGCTGCGCAAGGCCCGCCCGCGCCCGCGCCCGCCGCGCGCGGCGCGGCCTCGTCGCCCGCCGGCGCGCCGGCTCGCCCGCACCCGCGCAGCCCGCGGCGACGCGACCCCCGAACTGGCCGCCTGCCGCCGCCGCCGTCGCCCCGCCCGAACCCTCCGCGTCGCCCGCGCCGCCCGGGCTGCGGGGCGCCGGCTGCGTGAACTCGGGGCAGCCGTCGTTCTTCCATGCGTTCCAGTGCTCCTCACGCTGCGAACAAGCAGATGCGCCCCGCCCGCGTTACGACAAACACGCTCTGGGCGCAGCGCCTGCGCGCGTCCCTAACGATGCTAACTGCGCCCAAGCAATTCAAGGGGTGAGAATGATGCGGTCATTTAAATATCGCTCAGTAAATACTATGTTCAACACGCAATTTTCAAACTAACATCACAAAAGCAAGTAATGTTCTACAACTGCCAAATGTCAATATTCTGTGTAGGCTTACTTTCAATTTAAACCATTATGGTACCATTATGTTTTCATTTAATACCAGAAACTTTAATTAACACTGTGAAGACTTAGAAAGCACAAGTATGAACCATTTTCACCCCTTAAATTAAACTATTGATGAAGTTGAATTAATCTCTGCACGTCATTTTGTCTCAAACAATGACCAATTCGTTTTATTCTACAAACATGTTCGTCTTGAAACTGAATTGTATGCAAAAGAAGCATATTGTTTACATTTTGAATTTAAGTTTACAAACTTCTTCTACTTGATTTTCAGATCATAAAATCCAAATCTGGCTGTTGACATGAAAATAACCATATATTAAACATGAAGTTCTAGGCTAATATTTTTCCACAGATCTGTATTATATTGCAAACATATTACACTCCTATCCTGTAGTAATAAGTAATGTCTTTTATAAATCTGTCAGTAATATTTTGAAAATTGTACTCAATCAAGAGAAACAAATTTAAATAATACATTTCGCTAATCAACCTGTGAATAATTAAATGTGTCAAAATAAACGGAAATTGCTTCTTACAAAATAATATTTGACCTATAACAATAACATCTAGTTTTGCAAATATCGAAACTTTAATTAAATCAATATTTAGATCACTCGCATAATTCTTAATTTATTACTCGAAGTCCTGCATGCAAGTATTCAGTGCATTATCATTTTTACATTTACTTCTTATCACAGTATGCCATTACAGCAGTATACTTATTTACGAACCAGAAACCTTTAACATTTTTATTTCACATTCGTGATAGGAGATTTTCCAGGGCACAACGATTCGTCTACGGTTGCCAGTCCTGTAGTAGGCACTTTGGAACAATTTCCTCAACCATTACATGCAAATCCATTCATTTTACAAACCCTTTTCCTCAATTCTGTGCTTTTTCTCGCTTTGGAGAAAGAGCCTTTTCACGTAGACGGAAATGAAATTAGCGAGTCTCTAAAACTAAATTGCTAAAGAAAGGGAAATCATGCAAACAGAAACCTAATTCCATCAGACCACATTTAGAGGATGAGAATTTTTCTGAACAAAAACCCAGCTCAGAGAGATGAACTTCGTTATCTACAATTCACCACTGAGATGAAGAAAGAAAACTCCGATTATATTTGAGAAAAGAAAAGTAATGATTTGTTCTCAGAAACAATCTCCGGGATTTTATCGCAAATTTACTGAGTACTGTTTGTCCCGGTCCGTAATTATGATACGATATCAGAAGAATACCATGTCCGACGAGAGAGGCCGAGAGTTGACCGAGACAAGTCTGCTGCAGTATATCAATAGGTTTGATTTGCCATAAACGAAATAGTATTGAGAGTATTGTAACGAAACGCGATCCAGAGATTGAAACATTCACATGGAATAGCACGGCGCGACCGCGCGCCACACACAGAGCCATGCACGGGGTGCCGGGCACCTGAATTGGCTGAGTGACGGCGCTGGCGGTGGAGGCGCCGAGAAGCGAGGGCGGCTTGGGCGGAAGGCCGTGGGCTTCGGCTGGCAAAAATAAGGGCGGGGCTGTGGGTAGGATGTACTGGAAATATTTCTTCCTAGACTGTGAAATTGTCAAAATTATTTAAATGGAAACGCACCCACAGCCTCTCCAGCCCACCATGGCATGCGCAAGCGTGTTTTTTTAAGAAATAAAACAAAAGGTGATCGATACGAACGGCAGTAGTTCAAATGTCATTGGTAGACGCTAGTGTCCTCCTTTGAAGATCGAGTAAAAAATCGGACGTTGACTGAGCGGCGAAGCTGAGGTTTCCTTCGGATCGGCGTTGCATTCAACACTCAAAATTTAAAATTTCATTCATTACCTCCTCGAGTATTGATTTGGAAAAATATTCTCTCAATTAGAGGCTTCAGCTCACTCTCGCCAGAATGCACTGTTTAAAACTTCAGAAGTGAACTCGGAAATTACATGAAATTCTGATATAAAAATCGATATGAGTTTTTACGAGAAAAAACAACAAACCATTAGCTTGATTAATTATTCTGGGGCAATCAACAGCTGAGGACTTAAGTCCCGAAAGTGTAATGCAAGTACATACCGCGGGAAGACGTAGTGATTTTTCCCTACTGGATGGCTACATCCTTTGCCGAACTACCCGTCGGCTTGCAGGGTTTTCCCCAACCAGGTACTTCTCAACTGCGTGGCACCGCCGGCACAAGCTTTAAGTTACCGACTAGTCTCCCGGCGTACGTGGTGGTGTAGGGTTAGTGTGTTAGTAAGTAAGGGGTGAGGATAGGACAAGGCAGATGAAGGAAAGAAGAGCTCGGTCCGTGGCCCGTTTGTTGTAGTACTGCTCCGGCATTCGACTGGTGTTGCTCGGAGAATGAAAAACGACAGATTAGATCAGTCAGCCACAACAATTCTTCCCCAGAATCCTGGGAGGCGTTGATGCCCTGAGCCACCTAACCACAATTAGCCTGACGAGAAGCATGCCGTTCGTTGACTTCGGCAAGTATGTGTCTGGTTGATCATATTGACCACTAAGAAATTACAAATGACGCGACTTGCGACATCCGGAATGGACGGGAACAGACGGGAACCGGCCAAAGGAGCTTTACCTGCCTCGCAGCGGCGGTGCCTTCGCTGATCGACCGCCCGGGCACGGGGCACGGCCCACTGCCTCTCGCTCGCGGGAGTCCTGCCTGTAAACGCCACCAAAGTGAAGGGAGAGGACTTCTATCTTTGGAACAACGATAGTTATTTCAAGAACAAGCATTGCGCAATGAAGGTCGCACATAGACTAAAAGAAATACTGAACGTTTAGAAACACTAAATTTTAACCTACTTGCAAGCGACCGCGCTCTGCGCGTAAATTTAAGGCAATGAGTTATCTAATGTTCAATCACAGTCTAGGATTAATCGTGTAAGTTACAATTTGATGTGTATTTCATCGGGTCATCGGATATGAACATCACTCCTCCCCTCACAATATAAGTAATTAATAATCTCAACATGGCCCCTCTAGCAGTTACTTTCGTGTCAAACAGTGTTTGATCTACGCAAGTTCATGATACGAAATTAAAAACCCAATAGTTACTAATAAATATAACAGGCAAACCGGTGCCTATTACGATTATCTAAATAGATCTGCATTGAAATAACTTGTTCCTAGACAAATGAAGACAATGTTTTCAAAAAACAATATATTTATTTAAAACAACATAACACAAATTGGCCACATCTTCGGGCAAAAGTCTGTAAGAACAATATAATAAAAAATTTAAACACAAGGAATTAAATAAAACAGCAGTAAATGCGAAAGAAGATACAATTTCGGAATCTCTAGAGCCATGTTATACAAAGTACAGAATGAAACCAATGTATCGTTTGAGAAACATCGCTCTGATTGGTGAATAGTAGACATTCAGTTACTCTCTATTGACGTTAATTTCATGAATGGCTTAGTCGGCATAATTTTATAGCTCCGATTCAGAATATTCTCCCGCCGTCACAGTCCAGCTCCTGGGCTTCTCTGCTCCGCTGGTGGGTCGGAGGGATCGGAAGGCCGAAGGTCCCGGGTTTGATCGCAAGGAGGGGGAGAGTTAATGGTGCGTCGTAACCGATTCCCCACAGGCCGGTGTCGCCGGAAGCCGGGCCCTGGCCCCGCAGATGCCCCGGGGACCTCGCCTCCGCCCCGCACAGTAAACGGAGAGCGCCAACGCAGCGCCCCTCCCGCCCACGACGCGCGCGGCGTTGCCTGGGCGGGGCGGTAGAGGGAGAGGGAGGCGAGACGGCAGGGTTCCCCGGTATACCACGGCACACTCAACCTCACTGAGCTATCGCATCAGCATACATTTTTCACCCTAGTTTTATGGTCACAATATTCGCATGGTCATTCTAGGGACAAAATGCACCAGTAAAGAGCAGTAGTTTTACAGTTACATCTGTAGGGATCCTCAGGATAGCTAGCAACTCCGAAGTACGACCTGTACTCGACAGGAACACGAACCCGAGTGTTACATCTTTCACGAGAAAAATACATTAATATCATACGAACGTACTCGTACTTAGGTACTAATTCTTAATTCTATGAATTGAAGTAAAAAAACGCAGGGCCAGTACCTATATCTCCCATAGACTTTGACGGCGCCATTACACACCATGTAACTGTGTTCGGCATCCCATCCCTTACGTACAGCCTGTCCTCAACGGCACATACTTTCCCTTATTGTTGGTATGGTTGGACCTTCTACTCTGCTAACACATCAGACTCCACTAGCAAAAATTAAAAAGAGATAATTTAAAATTACGCGAAAACTATTCCTTCACTTCACTATATCGATTAATATTCTAGTCCATTTACTTTTTTGTAATACGGACCTCAATACTGACAATAAGGCATTGTATTTCATACATCCAAATTCTCCACTGTGTTACGCCATTTTGCCTTAAGTGCTCTATTAACCATTTATGTGCTCACTGCAGAACATACATTTTCTCTCTAGTGCTTCTTTCCGTCCTATTCTTAAGTCGACAGTTAACATGACATCGAAACATTGCCCATTGATTTCATTCCCGTAGGCCGAGTCTATACATATTGTCGTGATGTCAAATATAGTCGAAATATAACATCTATTTTCGGCTCGTTAAAATATTCCTTCCGTACAGTTCAGACTGTCTCTCCAAATAAAAGAAATTTGTCTGTGTATTTCAAACCTGTAGTTCTATTCGACAGCTTACAAATAACTAAAAAAATAACAAGTCATCAACAGCGCCAATGGAACTTTTA